ATTAAACCAATGCCCCAGCACAGTTTTGGGGCTGCCAAAGATGCCATTTTTAGACTGAGAGCTAGAACTAAGACTTGACCACTTGTGATCATTAAAATTTCCCTACCACTTTTGGCAGGAGGGTTCTAGGTGTCAGAACCAGCATCTCTATAAATTCAAACTAGTAAGTAAAATTCTGCCAATCTCAAGTTTCACCTGGACTAAGCAGCTGTGTAGCATTTATATGCACTGTTGAAAAGCATGGAATGTTTCACCCCATTGATGGTCATGTTTGAGTGATGGATTAATTAATTTCCCCTATATAGATTTTATTTCAATTTGTGGCCTGGAGGTTACTTCGGGCTCTTTCAGGATCCCAACTGCTATATAAATGCCACTCATTATAGTCATTACAATGACCAATTCTTCAGTTTATGTTCTGAACAGCCAGACAGGAATCAATGTGTGTAACTGCAAAGGATCGACATGAACAGAATATAAAAACGTCTTCTGTTGCTTGGGTAAAAAAAAAGACTTGTACTGTCAACAAGCTTTTTTATTAAATAATTTAGTAAGTAAAAAAAAAATCACATATCTGCAAAGTCAGCATACACACGTGCCTCCTCACTGAGTCAGCTGGACCTGAGACATGCACTAAACATATCAAGTAAGTGAGTCCCGGGTCTAGTTCACTAACTTTTATATCTCCCAGCCAGAAATGTATACAAATTAGTGCCAAACCATGTGTTTTTGATGTTGACCGTTATCCTCTTAGGGATTAACTACACTCACTGACCTAATTCATATTTCATTTTTTGGATGGACTAGGCTACTTGTCCAAAATGACCTTGGTTTTCTCCATCCATAACTCAAAATCCAACCTTTCCTCACAACCTTCCTTTTTCTGTCTTAGTGTAAAGATTTGTGTGGATATATTTTTAGGGAATGGCAGTGCTAGAAACAAGATCCTCACACCATCAGTGTTTCACGTTACATATTGTAGCTTTGAGGGGTTCCTATGAGAACTGTAGACTAGTTGATTTTGACATGGTTTGACTGGACTGATGTGTAACACTGATTTCTAATGAAGATGCTTACATATGTCTGGGTAAGCAGATGTGCATAAGGTACTATGTTGCACTGATTCCAAGCACTGGATTGCTGACTTGATATATTTTTTATAAATTTTGACAACTCATTTTGCATTCTTCAACTTGCTCATCCCAGTTTCACTGCAGCTATCCTGAATGCTGCAAGGTTCAGGGTCAGCACAACTTTGCAGTCAGGATGTTGCACTAGTACATCATGGTGACACTGAGTCCCACTGGAGAAACCATTCAAGGTGGCATCTTTGTCTTGATCCAGCCCTACTACTTCTTGGTTCTGCCATCTGTGATGCCTCAGCCTGTAGTGGATTGTTATATGAAATACTCCTGGGAGAATTCTGCGCCACTGCACATGTGCAGAATTTATGTCCCTCGCAGATTTCTTTGCTTCCCTGCAGAAAAATGACTTTCTGACGGGGAAGCCACAGGAGTGGTCATGCAACTCTCCCAAGCAGTATATTTTGGGTGCCAAGAGCAGCTGGCAGAGAGGTGAATCACTGTGGGGCAGGACTGGGGAAGACCCAGCTGGTGGCTCCTATCCTGCGCCACTCTCAGTTGCTAGTCCCGGCTGGGCTGGGGAGGACGGGACTTCTTTTTCCCCTGCACGGCACCCGGGGCTATGTCAGACCCACTCCCAGATTTCTCCCCCGGTGGTAGAAAACTCTGCAAACTCCCCCCACTCCTCTGCTTCCTGCACCCATCGCTTCTCAGCTTCAGGGGAAGGGATCACTGTACAGGGAGCTGCTCCCCCATCCACACAACCTCCATGCATCCAGATCCCCCTCATAACCAGACCCTCCCACCAAGCCTCACCCCCCCTACACACCCAGAACCCCCAGACGAGCCCCACTCGCCCTGCACCTGGCCCACCCCAACGAACCACCTGCACCTGCAAGGCCAGTTCCAGGCACCAGCCTGGCAAGCAGGTGCTTGGGGTGGCTGCTCCGGAGAGGGGTGGCAGGTCCAGCTATTCAGCGGCAATTCAGCGGACCGTCCCTCACTCCTGCTCGGAGCGAAGGACCTCCCACCGAATTGCTGCCGCAGATCGCGATCGTGGCTTTTTTTTTTGACTGCTTGGGGCGGCCAAAACCCTGGAGCTGGCCCTGCGTACCTGTTTCCCCACCCCACTGAGCCTCAACCAGCTGCACCTGTATCCCCACCCCATTGAGCCCCACTCTCCCAGCATCTGGACCCACCACACCCCGACCCCCTGCTGAGCTCTATCCCCCCCACAATCAGCCCACCCCTCGCTGAGTTCAAAACACCTTCACCTGGACCCCCCTGCACAGTCCCATTACCATTGCACCCAGAACTCCCCAACAAACCCCTTTGCATCCAGATCCCGCCCCACACCCGGATCCCTCACTGAGCTGCTCACACCCAGATTGCCCCACCCAGAACCCTCTCAACCCCACTTGGATCCCCCGCCACTAAGCCTCTTCACACTTGGATCCTGCCTTGCTGAGCTTGCTTGCCTACACCTGGTGCACCTGGCATGGAGGGGCAGGGCCCTCAGGAGTTTCTGGGGCAGGCCTGGTCCTTGTGCTGTGTCAGGGTTGGGTACAGCTTCACCGCTGAGTCAGTGTCCCGGGGGAGAGCTGTACAGTGACCTCCCATCTTTGTGCAGTCCGTGGCCTGTGCTCCCCAGTGCCATGCTGGACTCTCCACACTTATTTGACAAATAAAATTTGCAGAATTTTAAAATATTGCGTGCAGAATTTTTAATTTTTTGGCACAGAATGCCCTCAAGAGTAATGAGATAAAGGCAACCTAGATAGGCAGGGCCTAGGCATTAAAGTTATTGTACATGCCTCTGTTAGAAGGCCTTGTTTTCTGTTTGCTAACCTTTCCCTCCATGCATATGTGCCTTATTCTCGTACAATAATTCTAAGTCCAGAAAGTCACTCCTGATCAGCCAGTATGTTTTGCTATAGACAAGACTTAATTACCAATAGAGATAAGCACACAAGCTTAAGTGTTTACAATACCCACCAAATCTGAGAGCAGGATACTTAGTACAGGATTTGATGCCAGGTTTCTCAACTGGAAACAAATAACTGGGCAATTAATATTACTTCTAACGAGAGCTGGTTGGAAAATGGAATTTCTGTTCTGTGGGAAACTGCAACATTTCAAAATTTGTTGTTCCAAATCAGAAAGAAAAGCTAAAATTTCCAACTTTCCCACACAACAGAAATGCCTAAAACTTTTCATTCTAAACCATCAAAACATTTTGTTTCAATAATGTCAGATTACAAAATAAAAAATAACATATCAAGATTAGAATATTATAATATAAAAGTTGAAATGAAATAAAATTAAATAGGAAAGTCCAAATGAATATTACCAAAATGTCAGGAGAAAGTCAAAATGAATCACTTAGACCTCCTTCCACCAATATGTAGTTGAAATTGACATGTTCCTGCCAGGGCTGACTCTACCATTTTTGCCGCCCCACGCAAAAAAAAAGCCGCTCGAACTGGTGAAGTAAATAAAAAAGGCGCCCGGACTGTGTCACCCCAAGAATGGACGGAATGCCACCCCTTAGCATGTGCCACCCCATGCACGTGCTTCCTCCGCTGGTGCCTGGAGCCGGCCCTGGTTCCTGCAAAAGTTTCCACTTTGACAAAACTACATTTGTACTGGCTATACCTGTTCTGTGTAGGCTCAAGCCCTAAATGTTGTGTATTTGGAAGGAATTAAAGGGGAAAAGACGATGCAGCTTGTCAACACTGTTGGTTCAAACCCTTGTATGTGGAACTGGATTTCATGGTCTTATCCTAGTCCATGGTGGGCATCTGTCCATATCTCAAAGCTATCACTGAATTTGAGATGATTAGCAATCTGTTCAGATGAGGTCAGTGAAATAGCAACTGCTGCCATTCACACATGATTTTAAAACTTTACACTCAATTTCATGAACACAAGCCTCATGTGGCTGTGATTCATCAACATTGGTATGTTTAAAGTTACCCTCTAAGGAATCATAGAATCATAGAATATCAGGGTTGGAAGGGACCTCAGGAGGCCAACTAGTCCAACCCTCTGCTCAAAGGAGGACCAATCCCCAACTAAATCATCCCAGCCAGGGCTTTGTCAAGCCTGACCCTAAGAAGAACTGCGTTTTTTTCTAGTCTCTAATTGATACTTTTAAAATATATAATGTAACAATGGGACTGACAAAATGTTTGTACCTTTTGCTTTAGTTGTAAAACCGTCTGCTTTATCTGGTGAAATTCCTTACAAGAGGCACAACAGGTTCCTGCTTTCACCACGTTGTCAGCCTTCTCAGAAAGCCCGGCTAAAATTAAAACAATTTCCAATACATTTTAAAAGGGCAGAAAACCCAAAGGAAAGAAAAGCATACAGCAATTGCAAAAGCTACTGTGCCATAGAACAGCCTTTGAGGTTTTTAGACTACCCAATAGTGTGAAAGGAAGAGAGGCTCACGCCATTACCAACTTTTCAATTATGAATCACAATGTAAGGCTGAGCAATTTCACAGAGGCAGTGCAGCCCACATTTTAAACGCAGCTGTTTCCAGTTAACAGTCCTAAATCCCCTTTTCCTCTTTTATATCTGAAAATGTTTACACTTGTACTTTTATCTGTGCATTTACACTAGGCCAGCCCTATAGATCCGAAATTATTTACAATCCCCTCCAACGGCCACTTTTCATACATTGTAAATTACACTAAACCCCATGCAACGTGACAGTCTTATTCAATTTACACAAAACTGGTCTTTATCAACACTGATTATTCTGCTGTGCAATGGGGCTGCAAGAGCGAACAGGGCTGAGAATTGGGATTCGTGGTAAAGGTTTACAGCCAAGTTAGAGAAAAGGTCACTATAATCGTTAGGTATGTAGGAATGAATCTGTTGCAGCATCGGCAGAATAACCCTGAAAATAAGCATTGCAACCTTATTATTGTTGGCCTCACACAGAGCTAATCACTTTAGCATCACAAACAAACAATTATTGTTTTAATCGTTGTCCCACATGTAGGCTTGCGTAATGATCAGCCACAAGAGCCAATAGTAGGGTTCAAACTCTGGACTTTAAGAATCGTGGTACAGACTTCTACTACTGGAGTTAATGGAGGAACTCTAATAGCAATAGTAGACTGTTTGCCTCTAAATGGACCAGCAGCAGCACACTTAGCTATTGTGTTATACTTGCTCATTTGAAAACATACTTTAGTATAATTATTTGGGTCATGTTTTCATAAATGTGTTCTGCTTTTGAAAACTAAAACTGCAACACTAGATACAAACAGGCTTTCTTTTAGTATAGTATTAAGGACATGACTTGGTTATATATATATTTACTGTGTCCAATGTAAAAAAATTCACATCATTCCCCTTTGTTCAAATTTCACTCTGTTCTTCTGTAATACATAAGGATATGATTCTGTCACAGAGGTCACGGGTTCTGTGACATTCTGGGACTTCCATGACTTTTTCTGGGCCAGAGCTGGAGCAGCGGCTACCAGAACAGCTGACCGGTGGCCAGCTCCGGGCTGCCGAACAACTGACCAGAGGTCACCCCAGGGGCCACTGCAACCGCTGGCCAACGATCAGCACTGGGGCTGCTAAAGCAGTGGACGCTGGAACAGCTGGCTGGCAACTAGCCCCTGGGCCATCAGAACAGCAGCTAGGGGGGAACCGCTGGAACAGGTGACCTGCCGTCTGCCCCACGGCTGCCGGAGCAGTGGCTGCAGCCAGCCTTGGGACCACAGGAACAGGGACAGGTCGCGGGCTTCTGTGAATTTTTATTTATTGTCCGTGACCTGTCCCTGACTTTTACTGAAAATACCTGTGACAGAATCTTAACCCGAGTAACACACCAGGATACTAATACAGCTTCACAGCCAATTGATTTTTCTGTAAGATTATTCTACCAGACTCCACATCCAGGAAGCCTTTTGGGATCCACTGCAACAAGCGGTTGTGCCTTTGAGAGAGAGAGAGAGGTTTATTTTTCTTATCTTGGCTTGTCAGATCAGAAACGTGCCCCCGTACCCTGTACTTCATTGTCCTAAAGCACGAAGAGGAAGATGGTAAAGAGGAGGTGAAGTTAGCTGATCATCAGTATTAAGGGTATCAGAATTAGTGATGAATAGTCAAAAGATTAGGAGAATCAGACAAGCATATGAGTACTTAGATCAGGGGTCGGCAACGTTTGGCATGTGGCTCGCCAGGGTAAGCACCCTAGCGAGCCGGGCCAGTTTATTTACCTGCTGACGCGGCAGGTTCAGCCGATCGCGGCCCCCACTCGCCGCGGTTCGCTGTCCCGGGCCAATGGGGGCGGCGGGAAGCCGCGGCCAGCACATCCCTCGCCCGCGCAGCTTCCCGCCACCCCCATTGGCCCAGGATGGCGAACCGCGGCCAGTGGGGGCCGCGATCGGCCAAACCTGCCGCATCAGCCGGTAAATAAACTGGCCCACCCTGCTAGGGTGCTTACCCTGGTGAGCCGCGTGACAAACGTTGCCGACCCCTGGCTTACATGCTTATCAAGTGCCTCATCTAACACTCACTGTAGCCAATAGGAATCTTTTCACTGACTGCACTGGGCACTGGAACATCCCTCAAATACTCCTCTGAATTTTATTCAGTCCTTTTTTCGGCTTGAAATACCAGGCTCCTTTGTGAGCTTTCCAGTGCTTCCTAATAGTGTACAAGCTGGTAATACCAGGAGAACAGCTTCCCTCATCGTATTCTCCCCAGATTCCTAGATTTAAGACCAGAAGGGATCATTACATTATCTAGACTGACCTCCTGAATCATACAGGCCATAAAATTCACCCAGTTACCCCATGCGCTGAACCCAATAACGTGTGTCTGGCTAAAGCATATCTTTGAGAAAGGTACCTAGTCTTGATCCGAAGACATCAAAAGATGGAAAATCCACCACCTCCCTTGGTAGTTTGTTCCATTGCACGGTTATAAATTTGTGCCTTGTTTCCCATTTGAATGTGTCTGACTTTAATGTCCAGCCAATGGTTCTTACTATGCCTTTCTCTGCTAGATTAAAGAGCCTTTCAATACCCAATGTTTTCTTCCTATGAAAGTACTGATACACGGAAATCAAGTCACCTCTTGATCTTCTTTTTGATCAGCTAAACAGACTGAGCTCTTTAAGTCTTTCCCTGCAAGGCATGTTTTTTCCAGACCTCAAATTCTGCACCTTCTCCCAACTTTTCAACATCTTTTTAAAAACGTGAATATTTTGGTGCCAGTATTTCTAGACAAAAGCAGGAATTACAGAGGCATGCATCATTTTAAAAATAAAAAGATAATTAGGCTTGTCTGTTTTTAAACGACAGTAAAAATGTTGGTTTGGAACAAGTATTAAACCAAAGTCCCTTTCAATTTTTATTTTATCCCAATGAGTTCACGCCCGCCCCGCCCCCGATGACTGGACTGTGTTGAGAAATGTTGCTGAAAGCAACAACAGTCAGAGAGAAAAAACTGCCAGATTTCTCTGCTGTCTTTAAACCCCAAGCAATCCCATTGGAACCAGTGGGATTGAGTGGAGTATAAGAAACACTGAATTCGCCCCTAGTTCTAATATATAATCCAGTTCATCAGGACAACCGATGTATAGAAAAGGCCCGTGCATCAACAAAATATGGTTATAATAGTTGACTGCGGCTATCAGTGAGGTGGTCTAATAGTTGGAAAGGATCATGCTGCAGAGAATTGTGTGAATCTAGTTGGATCCATTAGTCTCTGTGACCATCAAAACACAATCCAATACGCTGGTGAGAAGAAGGATAAGAGATCGCCCTACTTCTGCTTCCCAACTTGTGCAAGGCAGGATTCCCCTAATTTACACCCAACAGAGGTGATGTTCTGACCATGAAAACAGTCATCCATCACTACCTTGTGACCCCAGACATCAGATCCAGAATGTGTCCACTTCTGAATAGAACCAGAATCCATCTGGGTCATGCCCAATGGTCAAGGAAGCAATGAGAGTCTGAGGCAGTCATCATTGGTGCAGATACTGAATTCAGGCAGAGTCCATCTTGTCAACCCCAGGGTTCACCATCACTTCAGTGGGATGTTTAAATACATGGTTTTCATTGTATAAAACTTGAATCTGGGAGCTAAACTACTTGACAGAGTCCCTTTGAACCTGTCCCATCTTATAGGGCCTCCTACAGTACAAACAATTAAGTCCAGCTCACATGATGTTTTGTTGGCCTTCTTCAGAGCCTTTTACCTCGTTACTGGTGAGCCCTGCAGCTGCTATTGATAAGAAAACTGCTTGGAAAGGCAGTATGTTTCCTTAGCATATGCTGGAAGTCACGATCTTGCTTATGCTGGAAGAGAGAGAGATACTGCCAGGATGAGATCTCTACAGGGAGCTGTTCTGAATGCATTCTTTGCACAGAGATTGTTTAGCTTATCATCTGTGTTGTATTATCTGGGCTCGGACTACAGAGAAGGTTTAGTTTGGCCTCTTTTGAGTGTGTAACTGTATTGTCTCTGCAATATGAAAAATGATTGCTGAAGCAGCAAGGCTGCAGCCCCTTTTGGTGCCCGATGTACAAATCCACAACATATTTAATCCAATCCACTGCTAGTAGGATAGGGCCAAAGAGTTTAATTCTTCTGGCATTGCAGAGGAAACACATTATTATTAACTCTCTGTGTAAGACATGTTACATTTGGAATTATGGTGAAAGATGTCAAATTTTTGTCTGTTTTTATGTTGTCTCATACAAAATATTATCAGAAAATCTGCCTTAGTGTTCCAGCGACCAATATAATGTGACTCTACTGTAGTTCTATATAAGGTTATTACAACTTAAATGTGTTGCTGTTTTATAATGGTGCAGGAACTTACATTTACCACAAGGTGGCACATAATTTATAGACCTAGAAGTCAGCTGCTGAAAATCCTCTTGTTCTGCATTCTGGCCAGTATTTTGCAGGCTAGTGTGCTTAATAAAAAAATAGCTAGGGCCAAATTCTGCTCTCATTTAGATCTGAAATCAGTGAAATTATTCTAGATTTACACTGGTGTAACAGAGCAGAATGTAGCCCTTAGATTCTGTATGCTGCCTCTCCGACTGCTGCTGGTAACTGTTTGAGAGATGGTGTCCTACACCACACAGAAGACATGGTTTATAGTGAATAGAAAACTGTGTTACAAACTGCTGTTTGCAGATAGTTGAAGTTCATTTACAAATGCCTAGAATATTTTGAACAGTCAGTAATCCCGAATGCTATGGACATTCCTCTATCAGAAAGCTTGAACTACAGAGGAAATATTAATTATAAAAATATCTGCAAGGGTATTAGTGACAACACACTTGTTTTGTTAATGACATCTTTATAAATTAAACAATTATAAATGTTTGAAAGCTACAAAGAGCAATCACAGATTACTGGGATGCTCCAGATACATGTTTTCAATGGGACAAATAAAAATTACAAAATGTTTGTGCCTATTGTGCAGCTGGGGTTCAGAAGAGTAGGTGATATAAAATGTACTTTCAGTCATTAATAGGTGAACCAACTGTAACCTATCGTTCATCAAAAGATGTTTTCAGTTTTTTCTTTTTTTCCCCTCTGTTACTAAATTTTATATCTGTGGTTAATTTAAATTATCCCAAACTTTATTAATTTAAGGGCATTGGATGATGGCAGATACTTTTATACTTAATACCAATGTTCAAATAAAACAAAACAAAGCCCAAAAGCTCAACATTCTATATTTATTGGAACAATTTCTGATCTCTGTTGCAACAGTGCCATCCCATTAACTTCAGTGCCATGGAATTCAAGAGCTCTAGAGTCACAGATGGAATTTAGCCTACTGATTTAGATTATTAAAACATAAGTTGAATCTCCAGGTATGATTTTGGTGTGTGCCTGAAAGCTCAAAAGTACTAACATTGGGCCATCTGCTAATGTCCTTGGCCTCAGTGTAAATACAGACTAAATCCACTTGAGTGATTTTGGCTTTATGGAGATCAGAATCTGGCTCATTTTCCTCTAAGTGAGATCCCACACTGGACTAAATTCTATTCTTAGTTACTCCTATATAAATTGGATTTGGCTTATTATTATGTTAGCTGCAAGTATTTTATGTGTTTCAGACAAAGTGGTCTAAATTAAGTAATAAGAGCAAGATTCGTTATTCACCCACTCTTCCCCTCCAGGGAGAATGTTTTCCACATGCTTCAAAATATTAGCTTTTCATTTGCACTCCTCTCACATGCAGACATGACAGTTCATTTAATGCTAATTACAGGGAAAAGGTACTTCCAGAACAAGCCATGGGAATTGCCCTGGGAACTCAAGAGTACAGTATCTCAGGGGCAGTAAAAGACTTATGCTTGCATAGATTTTTTTTACATTGTTACATAGTGGTCTAGTTGATGAGAGCCTAGATTTGCCATGAATGTAAAAATATTTTTATCAACACTATTTCAAGTCCACCGACTGAAGTACAAATATCTTCTGTATGGATCACATCATAAGACAATACCTGGTTGCCCCCTCTCATGGCTAAAGGAGAGGAAATCACCAAGAGATTCTCCTACAGGGGTTTTCTTCCCAAACATTCCATCAGCCAGAGGGCGATGTGTTTTGCCCCCCTGCAGAACAGACAGTGAGATGCCAGTCCCAAAACCCTGTGGAGCCCCTGTTCAATGGGAGGCCAGGGCCATCCATAGGGGTTTTCTAGACAGTGACTGTCCCTAGGAGCACCATGGACAGAGGACTATGGAAGCATGGTACAGCCTTTGGATAGTTCACTTGCTTTTTAGTAATCTAAGTCAATGGGCCAAATTCAGTTCTGTTACGCCAGTGTGCCTGAATTTGGCATTGGCTGTATTACATTTCCACAGCTCCCTCTCTATGATGGGTCAGTTTTCTTAGGCTATATTTGGCCCAGGATATTACTGCACGCTAGCATATACCTTTGTCTCCTTTGGTACAAGTCCTCCCATCATCTTCCCGGATATAGCCTTCATGACATTCGCATCTGTAACTGCCCATGGTGTTGACACAGATTTGAGAGCAGAGAGTCTCATTGCTTGAGGCACACTCATCGATATCTGAAGTTGAAAAAATGTTGAGAATTCCCCAAAAGTTACAGAGGTTCAGAGATCAAATAAGATATTTCCCTTAAGGGTTCCATTATTAGAAGGGATTCTGAATGGATGGTCAAGCAACCACAGAACTTCAGGGGGCCTGGGCCACAGCTTCACGTCAATTGTATTATAATTATTAACTTGCATGGCCCTTTACACATGACCACCACTTGACAGGTCTTTGCATCAAAACTTGATCCTGCAAACCTTGGCTCATGTGAATACTCACCCATGCAAGGTAGTGCTATTGAGTTAGCTGGGAGTGGGATAAGTCCCTGAATTAGGAGTTACAATCTGAATTGAACCTCAGAGGTTTGCTTTCATTATTTAATATAATTGCCCTGATTTTCAGTTTGATGTGAGAATCATGCCCTGTTTCATTGCCAAAGAACTTGAATGCTGCTCAGAGACTGCATGGGGGAGGAATTAACAAGGGGGGGGAGGGAAACATATACAGCTATTTACTTAGATCAATTAAAAGCATATTCATACTAAAAGAATGAAGGAAAGTAAGAGGAAAGGGTCTAGCACCATTCAACTTCTTCTTTGAAGAATTTCTAAAAAAATTGAAAATTCTGCCTGTAGCAGGACACAGCCTTAACCAAAGATAAATGTGACATGTTCTTCATACCCACCTAGGCAGTAGGGTTTCTCTCTGTTCCTGTGTCTCTCCCGGTCATACCGGTATCCAGGATAACATGTACAAAGGACACGCCCAAAGTTATCTGTGCATTGCTGTTCACATGGAGCTTCTGCACACACATCGTAGTCTAAAGAGAGAAAAGTGTGCTTAAGGGAAACATTGATTGCAGGTCCATTTGTTTAGGACAACCGTATCATTTGATATTTTATCTCATCATATGTTATTGTTCATTAACAAAGTCCTGCTACGTTATCACAGCAGATGGAAGAAACACAAGGGAGATTGTCACAAAATGTAACTAATGTTTTATTGGGGAATTATAATTCCTAGTCACAGCTTTTCTAGGGGTCTAATAATTTAAGAAAGGGGCACTTTATTTGTGTTTGCACCAGCACCTTGCACTATGGGATCCTAGCACAAACGAGGCTCCTAGGTGCAACAATATAATAAAATAATAATTAATATGCTGCTTTGGTTGCACAGAATCAGTAATTATTCTCAGGGAAATATTAGTTGCATAAAAGTAATTTGCTTTTTTTCCCCTCCCCACATTCACAAGTGATGGAAGCAACAGCTGCTGTGTCATATACTATACAATAGCTTACGGATAATTCTGTGGCAAATACATTGAGAAAATGTTTCAGAAAGAAAAGTTAGTTAAAATAAACACATTACCTGCACCAAACCAACCCTAACTGCCTAAGCAAAGAGCACATGGTTAATAAGGTATCACCGTTTCTAATAATATAAATGTACAGACTAGCATCTGATGCCTACCCTCTTACCGGAGTGTAGTGGAGCGTTTCCACCTGGGCCAGCTGGCCCTCGGGGGGTGTAGGCTGAAGCCCAAGTGAAGTTTTCATTCGGGCTGGTAACCATTCACTTTGCAGTGAGGATGCAGGCTAAATCACGCCAGTGATGATAGTCATCCAGTACCTTCCCACAATTCCCCCCAGAAGCCCAGAACCATAGACAAATTTTCCCACAATTCTCTGGGAAAGAATTACAGAGCGGCTCATCTTACCATAGCACAAAGATCCATGGGATATGCCCCCAGAAGTCTGAGTGACATATACTGGTGAGTGCAGTACCAAAGAGGACACAATGATTTAGGTAGGGCTTTAGAGTCTGGATGGTAACGCCCTGGCGAGGCTAACAAGGGTGCTTAGACCCAGGTGCCAATCACACAAGTTAACTCTGCAGTAAAGACATTCCCTCAGTGCGAAGGTTGATTAGCTGGAGAAGAAGGGGAAACTGAGAAAGTGGCCGGGCCCAAAGCAAGTCTGGATAAGCACTGCTGCAGGCACTTAGAGGTTATATCAAAATTCATGACAATATTGCTTTATATCATTTAAAAAAAACTTCTAAACGTTTAATTCAGAGTTTATAAAATGGCCAGTCCACTGTTTTTAACCTTTTTAAAAAATATATTATTTTTAATTGTCGCTTGCATTATTTTGGCACCAAAGAGCTGTAATCATGGTCCAGGACCTCACTGCGTCAGGCACTGTACAAACCCAGAACAAAAAGACAGTCCCTGCCCCCAAAAGCTTGCAACTTAAGAAAATGTAAATCTAAGTAAAATCTAAATGTTTTTGCCAACATTCCAACATGCTTTGCATGTATACCATACTTTTAAAATTATTGAAGAAATATTCTGATTCATACTAGTGATTGGCAGCCACCTTGTGAATTGCTGAATTTTCCAAAAGATCAAATGTCATAACAAATTACTGATAGATGGCAATGCTGGTTAAATCCTGTCACAGTTTCAGACTTAACTGCACTTTGCCCCCACTCCTGGTCTTTCTTGAGGGCACCCTCTTAAGGTCTCAGGCTCTCAACCATCACTTGTGTCAGACAGAGAGCTACATCTTTCTCCCTCCAGACCGGGGGGATGAGGCTTGTAGCCCCTCTGTACCTCACTGTGATTTCCCCAGTAGGCCTGACAATGCCTGGCCCCTGTGGTTAACCTCTCTTCAGGGGCTACAGCAGTGTACACCAGTTACCAGCCAGTCTTCATACAGCAAAATACTTTTATTCTTAGAGTAAAAGCATTACAGAAAAAACATAAAAATCAATGAAAGTTCCTATATACATGAGAAAAGCTTACCCAGAGGCCACCCATCCATCCTATGGGGTCCCAGTAAGCCAAAGTCCTTCCAACCCGTCGTCAAGGGTTGGGACCCCCCTTGGACAGAGGACCCTGTCCGCTTGCTGAATCAAAGGAAGGCCCTTTGCCAGTTCAAGCTCATCCTTTTATACCAAAAGCCCTTTCTTTGTTTGCTAGCCTCTGGAAAAACCCCTGCTTGAACCAGTATATGTAAGCCAGGAGGCGGGGAGGGGAGAAGCTCTCTTAAAGGGGGAGAGGTGGAGAAATAGGAAGAGGAGTTGTGGCATATCAGGTAATGTGTTTTAGCGGGCCTGATCAATTCATTGTGCCCCAACTCACTATGTTTATTATCTGTATCTAAAAGGTATCACATAATATGTCATTTGAAACTCACTGATCATTAATATTATTGCATGATGTATATATGGGGTGTGTATTAAGAGTTATGGATATAGGCAGGAATGATGACTAAAATTTGCTTAAGCCAGGCACGTCAGGGGGAGTTGGTAAACAGGTCTGCCCTAGATGAAGGAATACATATTTGCTTCTCCGACCAGCAAATGACACATTGGTGATTAATACCATCATAAAATGTATGCGTTAACACTATGTAAGGAATTATGGATTTCTATTGATATTAGTCTTCACAGTCTGTGTCTAAACAAAAGGAGAAAGAGGTCTCTCTCAGATAGGAGGGAATGTCACAGCTATATGTAAGGGGACTGTTGCCCCCTTACTAACATTCAGTGGGGGTGTTTTGGTTGGCTAGCTCCCAGCAC